CACATTCATACAAATATACATGTGTACACATGCATTCAGGGAAACAAAGGGAAGAATGATCAGATGCCCTTTTCCTGCTCACAGAATTACAGCAGTTTGCAAGAGAAATTATACCCATTGTGTTCCTTGTTTGGGTGGCTGAGGCTATAAAAGCTAAGTAAGAATTCATGGGATCTCTTGATGCGTGTATCATGTCTTCCAACTAGAACTTTGTCTCACTCTTATATTCTTCTCCATTCCTGGGAGTGTGAAGTATTAGGTCCATTCTGGTGGAAAATGAAATGCCACAAAAGCATATAGTATCTGGATTCATATCCTAAACCCACTAGTTAACAGCTGAGAGAACAAGTCCTTAAATGCCCTGAGCTTCAACTTCTTCATCAGTAAAATGCGTTAAGACATCAACACACCTATTGGCTGCAACATACCTCATGTAGAGACATCCCCTAGATTGTTAACGAGTATTTGCTCATTAATTGATACACTTGTCTCAGAAAAGGTCTGGACTTACTGCCAACCATTACTTTTACAGACTTGCCTGTTTTACAGCTCTATAGACAGGTGTTGGAGAATATAAGAAATTAAAATAGAAATCGGAAAGCTTTTTAGTCCATTTTGCTAATTAATGTGTCAGAGCTCATAAAGAAGAACTCGCTGGCTTTCTTCAGCACTGCATCATCGTAAAGAGCTGGGTCAGCAAAGATCTCTGCAGACAGTCAATACATATTAAAACAGCTCCACGCAGTAAATCAAAACAACAAAAATGAAGACACAGTAAAAAAAAAAGTAAAATTTATAAGTCCTTTCTGTCTGAATGCCGAGGAGCATGAAACTATTGGTTTAGGTGTCAATTCAGCACGTAGAAAGAAAGAGAAAGGAATGATTCCTCCGTGGACATTGTTTGTGAGTCCTTATAGTCAACATTAAAGCATATATATATATATTTTAAACAGCTATGCCAAATTTGATGTCATTTTCTCTGGATCCTAATGTTCCTTTATAATATTTAATATAAATCAATATTTAATGCTTTTATTATCTGAAATATATATATATATATATATATATATATATATATATATATATATATATATATATTGCTGAAGTTTTTGCTTTTCCCCTGCATTGCTAGGATTTGAATTTTGCCAGAATTCAATAGTGAGATAGCTAGAGAAAGAGGTCAAAGATGCCTCATTGTTTTGCCAGGTTCTCTGAAACTTGTGATTTTTCTTAAAAGAACCAGATGAAAGGCAAAATTTTGTTCCTAACTCCTTTGGGTGGGCCTCTCCATTCCGCAGATATTAATACCTCAGGCACATGGAGGAGGACCCTGCACAGATACAGGGAGAATCATCCTGCTGTCTTTCTCGCCAAGGTCTGAGATGTGATGCATTGCCAGGGGGAGGCCCTGAGCTGGGGCATCAGAGGAGCCTCGGGAAGACTGGACTGATTCCAGAAGGGCTGCGGGAACACTACCTTCTAGGCCGAAAGTGCTAGAAAGATGATCTTACCTGAGCTTTCAATTTGATCTGAGCTCTGAAGAATCAACCATTTAAAGATTAAGCCAAGGAAAGGGTGCCAAGAATATTGTCACAAGTTTGGGAGGAATCCAAGCCAGTCCAACAGATGGAAATTGGCACGGAATGGCTCTCTACACACTAAGTAGCTGACGCAGAAGAAATTTAAACTCAGATGAATTTATTAAAATGTTGCATATCATCCCGAACAAGAGGATGGGTGATAGATCTAGGTCAGCATATACGACGGAATTTAACTTACTATGGTCTTGGATAGCATGACAACTGGTCACATTTCTATAATTAAAAATAGACAGAGGGAGGTATTCTTTCTTCTTAGCAAAAGAGAAACCACTTTTTTCAAACCTAAATATTCCAGAGAAAGAACCTGGGGCAGGGAAAGGTGAAACAAAAAGAAGTTGAATGATACCTTTTGACTTTGTAAGACTGGTATGATCATGGAACATTGTACATTACAGTTCAAACTGGTAACTAGCTTAGGTCACAGACTGGGGCAGATTGAGACTACCGTTATATATTAGGTGGCTTTTAAAAATGATTTTGTAACTAAAAGAGGTTGCCAGAATTAAACGGACCCTTAATCCTCTTTCACTACCACCACCTATGCCTAATGAGAAATTGCTAGGAAAAAAAAATGCAGAACACAGCCTTTTATGTGAGGGATGAGTTCCTGAGGATCGTTATAATTCAAGACTAATTTTCCAAAAGAAATAAATGCAGAGGATGGCGAGGGTATATTTTGAAGTATATAAACTTACAATGTTAGTAGCATATTTTTCTTTAATGCTTCTTTGTATTTTTTTAAAAATGTCACTAATGCTTTACAGAGCGCTTTCGCTTTAACTCTGACGTGTATAATTCCAGGGGCTTGCTTAGCCCTCTTCGTTGTGTTTTGTCATGTGCCACTTTTGCTCCAAAGTTATCAAGTATGTTTTGCAGCATTTGCACTGGTTCCACAGACAGCTGATTAAAAAGTCAAAGACGCTGTGATAGGATTTAGAAGTTCTTAAAATATAAGGATAGTGAATATTATAATGAGAGTTTATTATAACTCCAAATCTTCTTTAAAACAACTGATGTATGTAAACAGTCTGGCTCATGGAAGTAATATAGAGACCTCTGGTTCTATTTCTATCCATCAGCTAAAGCAAAGCCACCGTGTGGAGCTTACAACTAACCTACCTGACAGCTTTCAGATTATGCTATTTTTAAAACTTAGAAGACTATTTTAAGTTTTGTACTTAGATTGATTCTTCATTAATATTTTTGTAACACAACATATAAAAACCTATCATTCAAATTTACCTAAAATATTACAGCAATATACTAAGGTAACAATGTTCTCACTTTTAAAGGCTGATAATAACTTTTAGTTACTGGCTATTCGTACTTTGTTTGGAAATTAAAAATATTTGAATAAGATTTGATTTCTTGGGGAAAAAACCCAGAAGGTCTATCATTGGCTCTTTTTTATTTTATTTTTTTTAATTTATTTTTTAAATATATTTTATTGATTTTTTTTATATTTTTTAATATATTTTATTGATTTTTTACAGAGAGGAAGGGAGAGAGATAGAAAGTTAGAAACATCGATGAGGGAGAGACATCGATCAGCTGCCTCCTGCACATCTCCTACTGGGGATGTGCCCGCAACCCAGGTACATGCCCTCGACCGGAATCGAACCTGGGACCTTTCAGTCCGCAGGTCGACGCTCTATCCACTGAGCCAAACCGGTTCCGGCTTTATTGATTTTTTTACAGAGAGGAAGGGAGAGGGATAGAGAGCTAGAAACATCGATCAGCTGCCTCCTGCACACCCACTACTGGGGATGTGCCTGCAACCAAGGTACATGCCCTTGACTGGAATCGAACCTGGGACCTTTCAGTCCACAGGCCAATGCTCTATCCACTGAGCCAAACCGGTCAGGGCGATTGGCTCTTTTTTAAAAACCAAACTGATAAACATTCTTAAAACTGCTTCCACTTTTCACCTTGCAGCCTAGCCCAGTGTGTAAAAAGGCATTGACCTTCAAGTATTACTATGGCAGAGAACTAACCGCCTGCAGTACCATGCATTGAGGATGAAAATAACAGGCTATCCTTGGGGCTCCTTGATCATGAGAACTTCCCTCTCAGACTCCTCAATGCATGTCCAGTAGTAGAGCATTTCATGGATGAGGATGACGGGAATGAGCAGCATGTGGCGATTGCTCAGCCCCACAGAAGTCTTTTCTTTTGCAGTGATCTAACCTCTGAGGCCCTTTCTTAGGAGAAGCAAAAAAGAAAAGAAATTTAAAAGTTGTGAACCAGCCCTTCCCTGCTGTTTCCACTAGAGAATCTGGAGAAGGAATAAAAGAAAAAAATCATAACTGTGCCCTGGAACATGATGGAGGTAATGAGGCATCAAGGCCACTTACTGCTGAAAACATAATTGGCACATAAACACAGGAGACGCTGGTGGTGGGGAAGACTTCATTGTTTCAGAAACAGAGGGATGTGAACACATTATACCCGTTTTGTTGTTTGGAGTGGCAATTCTACGAGTAAAATGGATATTCCCTCACCCCAACAGTGCACCCCTAGAGAACTTCAGTGTTTTCAATTACTGTGAATAAATGAAGGAAGGGCAAAGGGATAGAAAGCAGGACACTTGGCAATAGAGAAAAAGCTTGGATTTTTAGACCTGAAGGTTTCTGATAGAGAAAGCCCCAGTAGACACTGGGACCTTCTAGAGAACCTCTAGGAATCTCATTCATGAGTCTAAAGAAAGATAATATGATCATTGTGGGTGGGTACAATCCCCTTTGATGACAGGCAAAAAGACGTTTGTTTTAATCCTCACCCAGGGTATATTTTTTTTAGGGAGAAAGGAGGGAAAAGAGAAACATCAATCAGTTGCCTCCCATATCTACCCTGACCATATAAACCCACAACCTACGTATGTGCCCTGACTGGGAATTGAACCCGTCACCTTTTGGTATAGGGACGACGTTCCAACCAATCAACCAAGCAACCCAACTGAGTCAACTGGCCAGGGCAAGACTATTCTTTCTTGATGAGAAAGAAATAAGCAAAATTTTCTTATTCTGGAACTCTCTGTCCAATCACTTTATGCGAAAGTCATGATGGGAAAAATTTTCAAACTTTCTGGGGGTTTCTTTATAATTTTTTTTGTTGTTCTAAGTGTTCAGCTGGCATACAGTTTTAAGATTTTGGATTTTATAATCATTTTTTTTGGAAACGTTTACTCTTTCCTCTCAAACATTTTGAGTCAGCATACATTATGCCACTACATACAGAGCCAAGCAATAATTCATCTTTGTGGAAGTCAGAGACATCTCATGTATTAATTACCAAGCCTTTCAGTGACTGGTGGATGGAAATAGGTTCCAACTGCTACTCAAACACAGCCAGGGATTTCCAGGAAGGAGAATAGAAAGTCAGTTACAAGGAATTTCTTACCCAATTTGTGTCCAGCCAATGAATGGACTTTGCTTTCATCTGGCACTGAGAAGAAATAAGAGAGACAAGGATCAGCCTGCCTGTAAATAAGTCATTTTAACAATAAATTAATATAGATTCATAATAAGTTAAATATTTTACTGGCAAGGACTTAAGAAAAATTTTCCCCAGCCTCCCTGGGACACCTCATTTCTATTGGTAAATATGTTCAGAATAGCTATAAAGAAAGATATATTTATTAGGCTTCTAATTTTCTTTTAATTTTCAATACTTTCAGTTGTGTGTTTTTTTTTAAACTGGGTTATTGTTTGCAAAAAGAGGAGCTAAACTCATGGACTAGAGATGTATAATATATAGTAAAACTCTTTAAACACAATAGAAATATGTATAAACATTCAATATTGAGCTTCTATATCTGATAAACCTGGAGTAAAAGTTAACAGATTTATAATCCTTCTGAAAAATATTAAAATAAACAAAATATGAAACAATGACATTCAAGAGGTTAGACATCGGACAACAGAGACTAGTGACTCCTGAGAAATGAGAAACAAGTAAGATGAATCCTACAATTGCCCTAGTTTACTGCATGGAGCGTTTCCAGGCTGTGGTGCAGGGATGGGAACAGAGGCAGAGCCCAGTGATATCCCAGCTTGAGGACATGCAGCTGGGTGTCCAGGAAACCAAGGCAGACGGAGTCTGCAGAGCAGAGAACTGCAGAGAGAGCTATTGAGAGGAGCCCCTCATATATTTAGTTGAATACCGAGGATCGCATGCATGTGAGGAAACTACCCAAGACCTGACAAAGAACCACCCCTAAGTAGAAAGGGAGCAGTGTCCAAAGTTGACACAGGGCTGAGAATAGGCACTATTCCCAACAGCCATAGTGAAAATCTTCCTAATTCAGGAGCATCAGTTAGGATACAAAGAGGAACCTTGCTTCAGTAGTGGAAGAGACAAATAACTCCAGATTAATCCAGCTCTAATGAAATAGATACATTTGTCAAAGACACAAATTAGCAAAGCTTACACAGGAAGAAATAGATAAGCTAAATAGTCCTATAGTTCGATTCTTTAATAAATTTTTAGTTAAAACTCTCCCATAAAGGAAACTCTAAACAGATAGCCTCACTGGTAAATTCTATCTACCAAACATTTAAAGAAGAACTAATATCAATTTTATATAAATTCTTATTTCAGAAAATTCAGAGGAAAGGATATTTCCCAATGCATTCTAAGAGGCTGATATTACCCTGATATCAGGCAAAATATTATCTGAAAGCTATTAACTAATATTTCTCATGAACACAGATGCAAAGTTCTTAACCCTTAAGCTTCTCTGCATGATTATCACTTTAATATTCAATGACAGCTGTTCATTATTCGCCATGTGCTGTTGTCCATGTTAGTCTATGAAACTCTACTGCTCAGGGTTGAAACAAGGTGAGGGGAACTTTGCTCACAAGGAGGACCTCCTCCATCTTCCCTAACACTACATTGGTCTCAGAGTAATGTGCCCCTCCCTCCTTCCTTTGCCTACCACAGTCAATCCTATTTCATTAACCCAGCTATTAAATATCATTCAATCTTCCCACTCCCACCTAGCCTACTTTCCTAAGTGATTTATTTTTTTTAGTTAAAACCACTGCATGTCTGTAATTTTTCTGGAATTAAATGCTTAAAAATCTTGTTATAGTATTCTTCATACTTCCAGTTGGATATGTCAGTTTGTACTTATTAGGCTCCATGTTGGGGGCCAAATTCTGTCTTTCCCAAGTCTAAAAAACTTAATTACAGTGGAATCTAGAGTATAAATAGAAAAATATTGGAAAACAATCATAATGATTAAAAAATACTAGTCACTAATTATTAAGTACCTGTAATTGCAGGTTCTTCCCTATGTACTTTATATCTTATTATCATTCATTTAATCCTCACAATGATCTGTCAAGATAGGTGTCATTATTATCCTTATTTTATAGACAAAGAAACTGAGGCATGTCTCCTAGGTGGAGGATAGGATTCAGAAATTAAATATGGCCCTCTTACACTCTGCTATAAAGGTGACAAGTCGCAGAAAACTTGTTATATTTTTTTGAATCATCAATTAGATAAATTAAACACTTGACCAACATCTATATGTTAGAAAGCTACTATCCTTTTTATTTGAACATATGTTATTAAACAGAAATCTGTCTGTGGTGAATGGTATTAAGTGTTAGCTATAATTATTTTAAGCATTTTTGGAAATCTACAATTCTAGTGGATTCAAGCTAAAATATCCATTCCCATTTCACAGATGAAAAATCACTAGTCTGAGTTAAAATTCTGACTTGGACATGTACTAGTTGTATGCAATTTAACTTTCGGTGCCTCAATTTCATCATATGTAAAATAAGAATAATATGGCTTACTCCATAGATTTGAAGTAAAATTACATGTGTAGGTTTGTGCAAAGTACTTATAAGGTCATATAGAAAGTGCTTACAAAATATTAGCTATTATCATCATTATTAATGAGAAACTAAGTAGAAAAGTGGAATAACATAACGAATGAGATAGATGTGGGTTGAATCCCAGCTTTACCAGGCAAGTTACAAAGCCTTTTTATTTTTATTTTTTATTTTTTAAAATATATTTTATTGATTTTTTTACAGAGAGGAAGGGAGAGGGATAGAGAGTAAGAAACATCGATGAGAGAGAAACATCAACCAGCTGCCTCCTACACACCTTAAATCATTGAGACCACCACCCCCCACTGGGGATGTGCCCGCAACCAAGGTACATGCCCTTGGCTGGAATCGAACCTGGGACCTTTCAGTCCGCAGACCGACGCTCTATCCACTGGGCCAAACCGGTTACGGCTACAAAGCCTTTTTAAAAACAACAACAACAACATGCTTTTATTGATTTTACAGAGGAAGGAAGAGGGAGAGAGATTGAAACATCAATGATGAGAATCATTGAGCGGCTGCCTCCTGCACACCCACTACTGGGGACCGAGCCCGCAATCCAGGCATGTGCCCTTGACTGGAATCTAACCTGGAACCCTCAGTTCCCAGGCCTATGCTCTATCCACTGAGCCAAACCAGCCAGGGCACAAAGCCCTTTTTAACCTTAGTTTCCTCATGTAAAAAATTAAATAAAAACACTACATAGGGAGTGGTGGGAATAAAATGAAAAATATGTACAAAAACACTTAGTACAGTGCCAGTTACATATTTCTCAATAAACGAAAGCTTTTGATAAATGAAAACTGTGAGAGTGGCAAAGTTTATGAATTTGGTGGTGGTGGTGGTCTCAATGATTTAAGTTGCCTGGGATTATAAAGGGATATAGGGAGAAATAACTGATCAGACTGGGCTTTTTAATCATTATCTTATGGATAATCCAATACCCACAGCAGGTATGACCTCCCAGTTTACTCCCAGTCCTAGTTCATTGCTTAGGTGAAGAAAAGCAAAGGAAACATATTACTCACACTACATGGTCTTATTATATACAGTTATTCTGAAAAAGAGATTCATAGAAAGGTAGGACTGTATTGTTTTGTTTTGTCTGTTGTTTTGTTAAACAGACATAAGTTATCCCATTAAATCTAAGCCAATTTTAGTATTATTGCAAATTTCCCAGTCATATTAGGTTAAACATGGTACTTTCCTAATTTTTCAGCTGCATTACTGTCTATTATTCTTAGTAGGAATACTTATTATTTTAATTGACAATTTGAAATTATTTAGAACAGTAACATAAGCTTTTTTTAACAACAGTGTAGAAAATCCAAATGAGTGATAGGCATAAAAAGTAGGAGTCTCTCTCCAAAATATTCACTGACACAGATATCTATCTTTAGGACAGAAGATAAATGAATAAATATAATAGAAAAGAGAGGGAACTGTAATGACTTAATTAATAGAATACATTTTATTTAAAAGGTTAAATTGGGAACAATCTTCCTTTATGCACATGCTTAGTGCCTGGAAGTGATTTAAATAACAGTGGCAAATAAGAAAAGGAGGTAAAATTATACACACCATCACCATTTATTTTTAAATGACAAGTGTTATAATTAATACTCAACTTCCTTTATAACTCACATTACCTTAGCAGGGTTCTCAACCTTCTGGCCCTTTAAATACAGTTCCTCATGTTGTGACCCAACCATAAAATTATTTTCGTTGCTACTTCATAACTGTAATGTTGCTACTATTATGAATTGTAATGTAAATATCTGATATGCAGGATGGTCTTAGGCGACCCCTGTGAAAGGGTCATTCGACCGCCAAAGGGGTCGCGACCCACAGGTTGAGAACCGCTGCCTTAGAGCTACTATAAAGTTATCTCTTGAGGCTGGAGCTAAGGTCTAGTCTTTTCACTGCATAATATTTAGATAGCACGGCAACTGGAACAGTAGCAATGTGATTATGACAGGTATGTCATTTCAAACCTTATTTACAAGACCTTATTTATAGGGCTGGTGTGGGAAAGGTCTCTCATTCCAAAATGCGAAGGTACCGAAAGCATCATGTAAGAGAGTGTTGATGGAGCAAGAGCCAAAGTCTTTTGTTCTAGTTCTGATGACAGATTGTTCTTTCTTCCTTTTCTTTTCTTAAAGTTTCCAGAGCCTATTATATTCCCTTTCTTGTCCTTCAGTTTTACCTAAGAAATGATACTACTTGCTCTTGATCACCTTAAAGGGATATTACAGCAATTGAAGAGATACCAGTGGAATGCCGAGTCCTGCTGAAGATGAAATTCAGACATTTTTATTGTAACTATTATGAAATACTTATAGGGTGCTATGGACTTGTGCCTCCAGAGAGATCTTTGGATTTATTCAGATAATGGGATGTCTATACTAAGCTCGCGCTTCCTAGTATTCAACTCCAGACTGATGGGCACCTCTTGATTTAAGTACTGGAAAGTGTTTCATAAGGAGGCCACTCTTGGGTTTGGAGGTTTCCTAACTCCATGGTCCACCCTCTGTCCAGGATGACCTCTCTGGAAAACACAGAGCCTGCCCGCCTATGTTTCCAGTTACCTTG